CAATCAACAATATTCTAGAGGGTACAAGACTAGACTCTCTCTCAGTATGCTCAAGGTGTTTAGTAGTAATACAACAAGACAATCAACAATATTCTAGAGGGTACAAGACTAGACTAGACTCTCAGTATGCTCAAGGTGTTAAGGAGTAATACAACAAGACAATCAACAATATTCTAGGGGGAACAGGACTAGACACTCTCAGTATGCTCAAGGTGTTTAGGAGTAATACAACAAGACAATCAACAATATTCTAGGGGGAACAGGACTAGACTCTCAGTATGCTCAAGGTATTTAGTAGTAATACAACAAGACAATCAACAATATTCTAGAGGGTACAAGACTAGACTCTCTCTCAGTATGCTCAAGGTGTTTAGTAGTAATACAACAAGACAATCAACAATATTCTAGAGGGTACAAGACTAGACTCTCTCTCAGTATGCTCAAGGTGTTTAGTAGTAATACAACAAGACAATCAACAATATTCTAGAGGGTACAAGACTAGACTCTCTCTCAGTATGCTCAAGGTGTTTAGGAGTAATACAACAAGACAATCAACAATATTCTAGGGGGAACAAGACTAGACTAGACTCTCAGTATGCTCAAGGTGTTTAGGAGTAATACAGCAAGACAATCAACAATATTCTAGGGGTACAAGACTAGACTAGACTCTCAGTATGCTCAAGGTGTTTAGGAGTAATACAACAAGACAATCAACAATATTCTAGGGGGAACAGGACTAGACTCTCAGTATGCTCACGGTGTTAAGGAGTAATACAACAAGACAATCAACAATATTCTAGGGGGAACAGGACTAGACTCTCAGTATGCTCACGGTGTTAAGGAGTAATACAACAAGACAATCAACAATATTCTAGGGGGAACAGGACTAGACTCTCAGTATGCATACGGTGTTAAGGAGTAATACAACAAGACAATCAACAATATTCTAGGGGTTACAGGACTAGACTCTCTCTCAGTATGCTCAAGGTGTTTAGGAGTATTACAACAAGACAATCAACAATATTCTAGGGGGAACAGGACTAGACTCTCTCTCAGTATGCTCAAGGTGTTTAGGAGTGATACAACAAGACAATCAACAATATTCTAGGGGTACAAGACTAGACTAGACTCTCAGTATGCTCAAGGTGTTTAGGAGTGATACAACAAGACAATCAACAATATTCTAGGGGGAACAGGACTAGACTCTCAGTATGCTCAAGGTGTTAAGGAGTAATACAACAAGACAATCAACAATATTCTAGGGGTTACAGGACTAGACTCTCTCTCAGTATGCTCAAGGTGTTTAGGAGTGATACAACAAGACAACCAACAATATTCTAGGGGGAACAGGACTAGACTCTCTCTCAGTATGCTCAAGGTGTTTAGGAGTGATACAACAAGACAATCAACAATATTCTAGGGGGAACAGGACTAGACTCTCAGTATGCTCAAGGTGTTTAGTAGTAATACAACAAGACAATCAACAATATTCTAGGGGTACAAGACTAGACTCTCAGTATGCTCAAGGTGTTTCGGAGTAATACAAGACGACAATCAACAATATTCTAGAGGGTACAAGACTAGACTCTCTCTCAGTATGCTCAAGGAGTTTAGGAGTGATACAACAAGACAACCAACAATATTCTAGGGGGAACAGGACTAGACTCTCTCTCAGTATGCTCAAGGTGTTTAGGAGTGATACAACAAGACAATCAACAATATTCTAGGGGTTACAGGACTAGACACTCTCAGTATGCTCAAGGTGTTTAGGAGTAATACAACAAGACAATCAACAATATTCTAGGGGGAACAGGACTAGACACTCTCTCAGTATGCTCAAGGAGTTTAGGAGTAATACAACAAGACAATCAACAATATTCTAGGGGTACAAGACTAGACTAGACTCTCAGTATGCTCAAGGTGTTTCGGAGTAATACAACAAGACAATCAACAATATTCTAGAGGGTACAAGACTAGACTCTCTCTCAGTATGCTCAAGGAGTTTAGGAGTGATACAACAAGACAACCAACAATATTCTAGGGGGAACAGGACTAGACTCTCTCTCAGTATGCTCAAGGTGTTTAGGAGTGATACAACAAGACAATCAACAATATTCTAGCTGGTACAGGGCTAGATCATTGACAGCATTTCAGGAAGTTTTTAATCAAGAAAACAGAATGTGTTGTTTTTAGTTCCTCTCCTCCAGGAGTGTAGTCTGTAGGATTACCATCTCAAATCCTGGAAACCCTGTTTAACTTTACAACCATATAGCACTGTTATACTGGGGCACCACAAAACTATCACCAAGACACTAGTAATCCAGCGTGGGTGGGTCTTGCCGACACAATTAATGTGATTATTGCTCACACCATCATGCAAATCGACACAGGGGGAAAAACAATTTTACCCTGTAAAATATTTGTATAACTTCTAGCATTATCAAAATTAACAAAATAACAAAACCTTTTACCCTTAAGATATAGAGAATATATTTAAAATTATGGGGGGAAAATAGGAATTCTGTAATAAAAATAAAGCACTTATTCTGAATATGATGTGCATGGAAAATAACAGTTTGAACATGGTAAATAACATAATACATTATATAAAGAATCGAATACATTATTTAAACAAAAGAATTCATTATAAAAACAATAGAATACAAATATCTTGACATCTGACTATAAAGGGTACTGGTTATAAAAATCTGTACAGCAGCAAATGTGCTGTGTGATATTGCACTGTGGTAATATGTTAGTAAAAACCTTTTTCACAATAGTGGCAGGCGGGGCAAATGTACAAAGATTTTATTATGGACCAATCAGCACTTTACGGGTAAGTTAAAAGAACCCAAAATTTGACACAAAAGCAAAGGAACATTTGTATGCCAGTAGCGTATGCTGGACTCATATATTGTATACACAAATTAGCATTTAATTTGTATGCAGTCAAAATCAAATCAGCCATCTGTTCTTCTCAAGACATTACCTGGTATTGCTTTTAGACTGGGTCCACGTGGGACTGGTAACATGAATTAATCGTGTTGCTTTAGGAAACATTTAACTGACATGTCTTTTCCTTGAAATACCATCATCATCATCATGTAGCAGGTCCTTTGCAGAACGTCCCTCTCATCACAGTAAGCCTGAAAAAAAAAAACTCAGTCTCCCGCCTCAAGTACTTTCATGCTCAAGGAGTCACTCATATCCTGTGCCCTTGAAATGCCACTTAACCAAATTTTCTACAGTGACAAGTTTACAAGAAGCAGTTAAAGCTACTGGTTGTGTTTGTGCCTATGCAGCATACAGGAGGTCATGACATGAATATATTGACTAAAAATTGCATTGAGAGGGATTTTGTGTGAACCAAATAACCATTTTAAAGCTGTGTTGATGTTACATCTGTCTCCTTAGCCTCAGTGATAGAGGTCAAGGGGTCACATCATGAGTAACTTGATTCATGTTTTTTTTAGGCCCTGGGAAATGTATTCCTTTTGATGCTTCACTTTTTTTGTGTTGATTGGTTACTACCTTTATATATGTACACACACACACAGAGGCATGCACACACATTGCACGCACGCACACACACAAAAACATATATCTTTATTTAATCTGAAAAACAAACAAAGGTAGATCAATTTTAGAAAATTGTAATCTATTAGTGACCTGTGTCAAACGTGGGGGTGGGGTGGGGATCCAAAGAGTTCATGACTCATTTTTCTTTAGAACTACTAGGGAGAGAGTTAATGATATATCATAAATAATATACATTTACTTCTTGAGACATTACCTTTTAGAGCAGCAATCAACCCACCCTATGTTTCTTGGTCAGGTCACAGACAATATACTGTCCTTGCATTCTTCTACAATAGATACCTGTTGCACTAACTCACCTTCAACTGCTTCGGTTTGACAATGTCTCCTGTGTAACCCCTTCAGACACAAATACTGCATAATTTCAAGACCTGATCTTTTTGTTTACAAGATGTAAATAATCACATATGTGTTGTCAATTTGGGAAATATGTTTGACTGCCACTCACCAATGGCTGGGGTATCAGTCTCTCAATATTTAGTTGTCACCAGCACTTGAATAAATGGTTGGGATATCAGTCTCTCAATATTTAGTTGTCACCAGCACTTGAATAAATGGTTGGGATATCAGTCTCTCAATATTTAGTTGTCACAAGAACATGAATAAATGGTTGGGGTATCAGTCTCTCTGAACATTTAGTTGTCACTAGCACTTGAATAAATGGTTGGGGTATCAGTCTCTCTCAATATTTAGTTGTCACCAGCACTTGAATAAATGGTTGGGGTATCAGTCTCTCTCAATATTTAGTTGTCACTAGCACTTGAATAAATGGTTAGGTTATCAGTCTCTCTCAATATTTAGTTGTCACTAGCACTTGAATAAATGGTTAGGTTATCAGTCTCTCTCAATATTTAGTTGTCACCAGCACTTGAATAAATGGTTGGCGTATTAGTCTCTCTCAATATTTAGTTGTCACCAGCACTTGAATAAATGGTTGGGGTATCAGTCTCTCTCAACATTTAGTTGTCATTAGCACTTGAATAAATGGTTGGGGTATCAGTCTCTCTCAATATTTAGTTGTCACAAGAACATGAATAAATGTTTCGGGTATCAGTCTCTCTCAACATTTAGTTGTCATTAGCACTTGAATAAATGGTTGGGGTATCAGTCTCTCAAAATTTAGTTGTCACTAGCACTTTAATAAATGGTTAGGGTATCAGTCTCACCTCAATATTTAGTTGTCACTAGCATTTGAATAAATGGTTGTGGTATCAGTATCTCAATATTTTGTTGTCACTAGCACTTGATTATGGTTAGAAAGTTAGGTTAGTCTTTCACAATATTTAGCTTTCATTAACAACTGACTTACTGGTTAGGACATCAGTGTAGTAAGTATTACAGAAATCAAGTAAACATTTGTCCAAAACCTTGGTTTAGTGATAGAAAACAGAAATACCTCATCCTCAATTTGCTGCTGCTGCTGTTTGGAGTTTCTCCTGACCAACATTCTGGCTGGAGTAGATCACGGCGTAAACTGGACAACTGCTGCTGACCCTACCACCCCATGACCACCCGTTGGGGATCCAGCTACTAGACAGACCATCTCTGACAACACCGCTGACTCCTGAATGACAGATTCAATATGATAATTACACACAATATTTTGGCCAGATTAAAAACTTTAACAATTGTTTCATCATCGTGTAGTCGGTTCTTTACAGAACGTGGCTCTCGTCATGGTTTGTCTGAAAGAAAGCCTGACTGTCGCCAGCTCTCTCAGATCCCATGCACTTTGATACTCAAGGTATCACTTATATCATGTGCCCATCTCATGCACTTTACTACCCAAGGTATCACTTATATCATGTGCCCATCTCATGCACTTTACTACCCAAGGTATCACTTATATCATGTGCCCATCTCATGCACTTTACTACCCAAGGTATCACTTATATCATGTGCCCATCTCATGCACTTTGATACCCAAGGTATCACTTATATCATGTGCCCATCTCATGCACTTTGATACCCAAGGTATCACTTATATCATGTGCCCATCCCATGCACTTTGATACCCAAGGTATCACTTATATCATGTGCCCATCTCATGCACTTTGATACCCAAGGTATCACTTATATCATGTGCCTATCTCATGCACTTTGATAACCAAGGAATCACTTATATCATGTGCCCATCTCATGCACTTTGATACCCAAGGTATCACTTATATCATGTGCCCATCTCATGCACTTTCATACCCAAGGTATCACTTATATCATGTGCCTATCTCATGCACTTTGATACCCAAGGTATCACTTATATCATGTGCCCATCTCATGCACTTTGATACCCAAGGTATCACTTATATCATGTGCCCATCTCATGCACTTTGATACCCAAGGTATCACTTATATTATGTGCCTATCTCATGCACTTTCATACCCAAGGTATCACTTATATCATGTGCCCATCTCATGCACTTTGATAACCAAGGTATCACTTATATCATGTGCCCATCTCATGCACTTTGATAACCAAGGTATCACTTATATCATGTGCCTATCTCATGCACTTTGATACCCAAGGTATCACTTATATTATGTGCCTATCTCATGCACTTTCATACCCAAGGTATCACTTATATCATGTGCCCATCTCATGCACTTTGAAACCCAAGGAATCACTTATATCATGTGCCTATCTCATGCACTTTGATACCCAAGGTATCACTTATATCATGTGCCCATCTCATGCACTTTCATACCCAAGGTATCACTTATATTATGTGCCTATCTCATGCACTTTCATACCCAAGGTATCACTTATATTATGTGCCTATCTCATGCACTTTCATACCCAAGGTATCACTTATATCATGTGCCCATCTCATGCACTTTGAAACCCAAGGAATCACTTATATCATGTGCCCAGCTTCATGCTAGCCAGTGCCTTTCTCTCCTTCTAGCATTCTACTGTTGTTGTTTTTTAAACCGCTGTGGCCCGTCTGAGACAAGATGCTGTCTACTTGCCAATCTTCCTTCATGTTCAGATAAACCATCTTCTTCTTCTTCTTCCGTTCGCCTTATATAAGTTGTCTATATCAGCAATTTTGTCTCTTGTATAAATTTCACTGTAGTTTTTAGTTCATTCTATGGTCCATAGAGTTTACGTTCCACTGTTGTTCTTTCTGGCCAAAAGGTTTGCCTTAATGTGTCAAATTTGGTGCAGTCTTGGAGTACATGATCTGCTGCCTGGGGCACCTTTCCACATCTGATAAAAATCATTATTTTTTTTTTTAAACGTTTTTTTTTAAAAACCAATATTTAGGGTAGTGTAGGAGGGAAGGGGTGGGAAAGCATGTGGATTTAGGGCCCCTTGGCTAGGGCAGGAATTCTACATCCAGGACCACAGAGTGGCGGAGATTCAATGTAACGAAAGTATACTGTGGATATGGTAGCTGATGGACTGATGTACACAATTACTGATAATGTTTGGACGCTGTATACAACAAGAACAGCTCTCACATTTATATATATATATATATCAGTAGAGTGTGGATGCTGGGCATGGCTGCTTTCTCAAGGACTACAGTCTCAGGTACTTTGTCTTGCCATCTGATCTGCATTAGTTTTATAAGGCAGACTGTATGAAAGTGCTTTAACTTAATTTGTTGGGCTGGTCATGTGGCACACATGCCAGATCATAGGCTCCCAAAAAACTCTTCTATGGCGAGCTGCAAAATGGGAAATGTTCCCAAGACTGGCAAAAACACACACTTTAAGGACACCTTGAAGTCTTCACTCAAAGCATTTGGGATGAATGACACCAATTGGGAGGCTGCCTCCCAAGACCAAAATGCATAGCATGCAACTGCACAAGGGCGCGGCTACATGTGAAGCAAACAGAACAGCGAGACTGATTAAGAAAAGGATGGACAGAAAGGCCACTGCAGTAGATCCCTTCCCTGGCATAATACTCATTTCCTGTCCTCACTGTCCAAGAACATTTCAGGCCCGCATCGGCCTCATCAGTCATATTCATACTCATGAAAAGAGTGGTCATCATCATCTTGATGGACACAAGCACACGCCCCCCCCCCTCCCCCACCACGCACGCGCGTGTTGGACTTTGAACTGGCACTTTTGATGACTGCCTTGTGTATTGAATGTATGTGTGTGCTACAGAATCTGCTGACACTGTAATCTGTGTCAATGTTTTTCACAACTGACAGTAATGGACATTCTGTGTGGTTTTCATTAAGAGCGACTGTGGGGTAACTCATTTGCTTTGAAGTTGGAACAGCAATTATCTGCTTACCTGATGACGCAATACTTCCGCCACGCGTCAACAGATAAATGACCATCACAAGTCCAAGCAGGCAAGAAGAATTTCAGAGTTAATGGCCACCCGGGGTTACAGTGACAAGAAACCAGCAACTGGCACTCAGTCACTCATCAATCCACTCCCTAATCATGAGTAAATGGTTTCCATTAAATTGGTGCCCAACTAATTGACACACTGGTTCACAGCTCTAAGTGAGCATCCGTCCTACTAAATGATACTTTGATCCAAAGGTCCATTAAATGAGCACTCTGCTAAATGATGAATCAGCACTGCTGTGAGAGAACAGATGGTCCTGCCCATGCTAATTGTCAGAAGTGAATAAAATAACTTGTCTTTCTATAATCTATCACACTGATTGCTCTTATGCCCATGCGTCGCTAGGATCTATTTGGGAAACAAAGAACAGTAACAACGTAACCTGACATGCATGTCATCAGAAGCCATTAAGGAGGGTTGGCCACCTCCGTCCATGGAAAACTTCAGCTGCAAAATTGATCCTTCTTCTTCTTTGCATTAATTAGCTGTAATCTCACATAGAAAGTACAGGTTGTTCATTCACTTCCGGACTTAAGTCTGGTTTCACAACTTGAGTTTTGCATGCACAACCATTTTACAGATCTGGCTTATGTGTATGCAGACTGTTAGTTCCATGCTTCTCAGGCAGAAGCACACCAACTCTGATTTGAAGGAAACCTCTAATTAGTCAGCTCCTCTGACAAGCTTTTTAGGGAAGCAGAACGTCAATGTTTCTAAAACGCTGGCTGCTCGGAGGATCCGAACTCAAGAAGACCAGGCTAGTAGCTTTTTTCTGTGTTCACCCCTTAAAGGTTGGTTGGCATGCTGCGTTGTGGTTTACAGCTAGACTGAGATATCTGTGCCTTTGGTCCAACAAATCCGATTTCAGCAAGATCTTCACTAGTCACCTTTTACCAAATGTTTGTTAGGAGGCAGCGGGTCTATCTGTCCTTCTCAAAACAAGGCCTCGAACCCACATGGAGAACCTGGAAGGTAAGTGGGCTAATTACTGCAACTCCATCTCAGTGTGGCGATAGATAATCAAAAGTGTCACTCTACGCGTACCGCTTCAAACCATAACCATACCTGTGTACACATCACTGGCTTCCTGGCTGATCCAAATGTTTCCACAGTTCCTGTCACACCCTGGAGACTTCTCCTGGCCATCCATGGCGGCCTCTGAAGGAATGCAACCAAAGTAACTTTCTGTGGACAATGTAAAATTCTTCCTATTTACATTTAAAGAGACAATTACAACTTCCTTACTTATCTAAAAGTATCAAAATGTACTTTCATCTAAAAGTATCAAATGTACTTTTATCTTAAAGTATCAAAATGCACTTTTATCTAAAAGTATCAAAATGTACCGCTAAGATTCACCATTACAAAAATACAACTAACTATTTCTTTCATCCAGCAGGAACATCTCAATCAATGAAGCCAACCGCTTTGTAGACTTCTTCCTGACTGGCCGGTCTGAAGCTAAATTTCTATAGGATGAGGTCATTAGCCTCAAGCCAACCTTCATCAGATGCCTGCTGTGATATGCATGGAAGGTTACAGGCTTACTGTTCTTTGTTTCCTCGTAAAACTGGCAACAAATATTTTATCTTGATTTTTAAAAGTTCTCAAGACGACCGACTGATTCATCATTGACAAGTACTTGTGATTGCCATCTAACAGTTCAACAGAATATCATTAAGATGTAATAGAGACATTCACTGCTATCTATCAATGAGCCAAGGTTTGAGACAGAAAGCTGCTACAACTATCTCACCTCCTTGCATGTGTGAAGTCTGACAAAGGTCTCCCAGAATGATGACCGGTTCCTCACCTGAGAAAAACACAAGTGGGGGGAACAGTGTGGTCAACGAAGTGATTTTCAGACTATGAACACAACACACACATAAAAAGGAAAACAGAAAGGTTAGGTCAGGTCGCGATGCATCAGACAATGGAGACTGGATTAGGTCAGGAGTTGTTGATGCCAAGCATAGTCAATGTATATTCAAACTGGGCGCTGTTTCCTAACACAGTCTCACCAGATGTGGGCTATACATCTGAACAGGCCCAACCTCAACGCACTCTAAGGTCTCGCAATTTGTTGATATCAGAATGTTGGGGTTAGCTGAGATGAGTTAAATTAAGATTCAACATCACAGCATTTGAGACATTTTCATAAGAACTCTGTCCCGATCTTCAGCAGCCAGCAAAGAGTTTTAATTTTAATAGTTGATTCGATTCTTTGTTAACGATGACCATGTTTAACCAGGGCCGGAGAGTCTTGCTCTCTGCCATTTTGGTTATACCTTGGTGACATGTCAGGTTTTTGTTTCATCAGAGTTTAATATGTGCTGACTGCATTCTGCTGAACCAGCGTGTAATATTTTCTTAGGGTGGTTTCTTTTGTTTTAATGCTACAAGTAGCAGTTTGGTTATAAGTCAATCATACATTTCCTATAAGTGTAGAGTGTTGATCAGATCCCCTAGTCACTCTTTGACATGTACTCTTGCAGAACTAGTGTAAAGTGTTGATCAGATCCCCTAGTCACTCTTTGACATGTACTCTTGCAGAACTAGTGTAAAGTGTTGATCAGATCTCCTAGTCACTCTTTGACATGTACTCTTGCAGAACCAGTGTAAAGTGTTGATCAGATCCCCTAGTCACTCTTTGACATGTACTCTTGCAGAACTAGTGTAAAGTGTTGATCAGATCTCCTAGTCACTCTTTGACATGTACTCTTGCAGAACCAGTGTAAAGTGTTGATCAGATCCCCTAGTCACTCTTTGACATGTACTCTTGCAGAACCAGTGTAGAGTGTTGATCAGATCCCCTAGTCACTCTTTGACATGTACTCTTGCAGAACTAGTGTAGAGTGTTGATCAGATCCCCTAGTCACTCTTTGACATGTACTCTTGCAGAACTAGTGTAGAGTGTTGATCAGATCACCTAGTCACTCTTTGACATGTACTCTTGCAGAACCAGTGTAGAGTGTTGATCAGATCCCCTAGTCACTCTTTGACATGTACTCTTGCAGAACTAGCCAATTCGTCTGCCTGTTCATTTTTTGAACAGTGCGAGACTGGAATCCTACCTCTCTGACATGAGTGTGTGTGACTTGATGAAGGCTCTCTAGGACAGTGCAACAAAACAGACTTTGGAAGTCTAATTCAGCGGTCAAATGGAAATGGGGGGGGGGGGGGGGGGGGGGGGGGGGGGGGGGGGGGGGGGGTGGGGGGAGGGTTCATATGGGTTCTGGAAGAAATTTGACAATGAGGGAGAAATGTAGGCAGACTATTAATCAGGTTGCAACTGGTACTATAAGTATATCAATGTCCCAAGTGCTTGGATGTACATTCTTGATTCATTCACTGATTCATTCATACAGACGTCTAACCTGTGAGCTCCTGCTTGGCCCTGCAGACAACCTGATGAATCTGATCTGTCTGATGTGGAGTTGCCTGCACATGTCCATCTGTGGGATCACCTGCCTGGCAGTGCATACTGACTGCTGCAAATGTCAGGCCTGGCGTCATCTGTTGAGGATATTCAGTAAATGCAATCCTTAAAAAACATGTATTTAGTGGATGCAATCTACAACACACAAACTGCTGATGGACTAAGACAACTGCAGCTCACATTAGCGAGACATGAGCTGGCTGAAGATGTGTTTCATGAGAAGCTTAGTCCACCTGTAGCATGCAGGTGGAGGGAGAGGACAAGGAGGATGAGAAGAAGAAGAGAATGAAATGTAACACTGACCACATTTTCACTGAGTGCCAACTGTGTTACAATTATGTAGCTAGCACCGTAACTCTAAAATGCCTCAGGGAATGAACAAGTGTCTTTTAAATTTTGTTTTAATCGAGGGGATATAGTGAGCTCAGACCAGACCAGGCTTGTTTATTAGCAGTGATCTAGTACAGGCATACCCTTAACTGATATATGACATAAAGAAAGTGATTCCACAATGTGCACAGATCTATATTACTGACATGCTTCTCCGCCACTTACGATCTCCAACAGCATGTATTAGTTTATGTGCTGGCAAATTTCCATGACCAAAAGCAATCAAGAATATTCTCATTGTCTTCCTCTATTTTATTGTTTTGCCTTTCTAGCCCCCAATGGAGCATAGGAGTTCAAACAATTTATGCCAGGTCGTTCTATCCTTCGTTATCGCATGAAGCTCTCCATATCTTTCTAATTTCACTCAATAGCTTCTTCTCCACATGTTTTTGGTCTTTCTTTATTTCTATGACCCTGTTGGTTCCAGGGCAAAGACTTTCTAGTTATACTGTTCTCAGGTTTTCTCAGTGTCCTATCCAATGCCAGCATCTTTTCTTCACCTCTTTGTCCACTGGAACTTGTTTAGTTCTCTACCAAAGCTCTACATAAGTGATTCTATCATACATTTAACTCCCTCTATTCTGCGCAGCCACCAGTTAATGAATGTTCGTAGTTTACTACTAATTGCCTTAGTCTTCCTCTATTTCACTTCCCATAAATCTCTCATTGACATAATCATCTACAGTTTTTCTTTTCTTAAACAAAACATGGCCCAAATATTGATAACTGCGGTTTCCCAATGATGGTGATAAATGATCATGTCTGAACTTCTTTCAAGATATTTAGATTATTATCCTGGTTGTCCCAGAAATTCTCATCTCGGAGACTTTGAAGAATTGTTAAAAATTGTTGCTTGTTTTCTAGTTATCTAGAATACACAGACACATACATAAGAAACACAGAAATATATTAACTGTATGTCACAAGTACATCCATGTATGTGAACCACACAGACAAACTGTTTGTCCCTAGTTCATTTATGGGAAACAGACAGACAAACTATTTGTCACAAGAGCATATATGTGAAATACAAACTGTCTGACACAAATGCATCTATGTGAGACACAGAAAAAGTGTTTGTCACAAATGCATATATGTGAAACACAGAAAAACTGTTTATCACAAATGCATACATTTTTGTAACACAGACAAAATGTCTGCCACTAGTGTATACAAAATAAACACACAATCATCCCACATATCTACCTTAAATGCTCCCAAAAAGAGGGAGGCTGTGTCTGTGCCCAGGGTGCCTTCCAGCAGACCAGACTTGATGAGTTGAATGTTCTGAGATCTGTCATAGAGAAATCCTTGGTATGTGTTCCCCTGAGGAAGAAGAAAAAACAAGACAAAATGGAGTGAGCACTTCTCTTCTTCTCTTGCCCTCTCCACATGAACTCTTTCAGTCCCAAGAAACACATCATACATCCAGAAGCCCAATGAACACAAAATGTGCTTATTTTATGCCTCTCTTGACTACCCCTTGGGCCTCTAATTTTAAACCCCCTGGGACTGAAAGAGTTAAGGTGCAGTTAAGAAAACAAGGTGAGTCATATGGTCCTCCATAGCAAGTAAAGGTCCTGCTGCACACTTTGAGATAGACTAGGTACATGGTGCTGAGCCATATTAGTATAGACATATCAACACTTGATGGATGTGGTCAATTTCATGCCCTCCGTCTTTATTTCCAAGAACATAATAATATGAAGTGCTGAGATACACAGAAGGTTTCTCTGGAGTGATACCTTACCTGTGACAGTGGCCAGTGGGTATTTTGTCACCCCTACTGTCACTGTCCAGTGGGTATTTTGTCACCTCTAGTGTCACTGTCCGGTGGGTATATTGTCACCTCTACTGTCACTGTCCAGTGGGTATTTTGTCACCTCTATTGTCCCTGTCAAGTGGGTATTTTGTCACCTCTACTGTCTCTGTCCAGTGGGTATTTTGTCACCTCTACTGTCACTGTCCAGTGGGTATTTTGTCACCTCTATTGTCTCTGTCCAGTGGGTATTTTGTCACCTCTATTGTCACTGTCCAGTGGGTATTTTGTCACCCCTACTGTCACTGTCCAGTGGGTATTTTGTCACCCCTACTGTCACTGTCCAGTGGGTATTTTGTCACTCCTATTGTCTCTGTCCAGTGGGTATTTTGTCACCCCTATTGTCTCTGTCCAGTGGGTATTTTGTCACCTCTACTGTCACTGTCCAGTGGGTATTTTGTCACCTCTATTGTCACTGTCCAGTGGGTATTTTGTCACCTCTATTGTCACTGTCCAGTGGGTATTTTGTCACCTCTACTGTCACTGTCCAGTGGGTATATTGTCACCTCTACTGTCACTGTCCAGTGGGTATTTTGTCACCCCTACTGTCACTGTCCAGTGGGTATTTTGTCACCCCTACTGTCACTGTCCAGTGGGTATTTTGTCACCCCTATTGTCTCTGTCCAGTGGGTATTTTGTCACCCCTACAGTCTCTGTCCAGTGGGTATTTTGTCACCCCTATTGTCTCTGTCCAGTGGGTATTTTGTCACCTCTATTGTCACTGTCCAGTGGGTATTTTGTCACCTCTACTGTCACTGTCAAGTGGGTATTTTGTCACCTCTACTGTCACTGTCCAGTGGGTATTTTGTCACCCCTACTGTCACTGTCCAGTGGGTATTTTGTCACCCCTACTGTCACTGTTCAGTGGGTATTTTGTCACCCCTATTGTCTCTGTCCAGTGGGTATTTTGTCACCTCTATTGTCACTGTCCAGTGGGTTTTTTGTCACCTCTATTGTCACTGTCCAGTGGGTATTTTTTCACCTCTACTGTCACTGTCCAGTGGGTATTTTGTCACCTCTACTGTCACTGTCCAGTGGGTACTTTGTCACCCCTACTGTCACTGTCCAGTGGGTATTTTGTCACCCCTATTGTCAATGTCCAGTGGGTATTTTGTCACCTCTACTGTCTCTGTCCAGTGGGTATTTTGTCACCTCTATTGTCACTGTCCAGTGGGTATTTTGTCACCTTTACTGTCAATGTCCAGTGGGTATTTTGTCACCCCTACTGTCACTGTCCAGTGGGTATTTTGTCACCTCTACTGTCTCTGTCCAGTGGGTATTTTGTCACCTCTACTGTCAATGTCCAGTGGGTGTTTGTAACTCATCTCTAGTCTACTCCACTGCTACACTTGTTAGCTTTGCCCTCTGTTCATACACACACACACACACACACACACACAAACACACAGACAATCAGGCCATGTCAGTCACAGATGTTTCTCTTACCAAATGTGGGCCACCTGTTGCCTCAGACACCACACATGCCCACTGTTCACACACACACAAACACACAGACAATCAGGCCATGTCAATCACAGACGTTTCTCTTACCAAATGTGAGCCACCTGTTGCCTCAGACACCACACATGCCCACTGTTCACACACACACAAACACACAGACAATCAGCTCATGTCAGTCACAGATGTTTCTCTTACCAAATGTGAGCCACCTGTTGCCTCAGACACCACACATGCCCACTGTTCACACACACACCTACACACAGACAATTAGGCCTCGTCAGTCACAGATGTTTATCTTACCAAATGTGAGCCACCTGTTGCCTCAGACACCACACATGCCCACTGTTCACACACACACAAACACACAGACAATCAGCTCATGTCAGTCACAGATGTTTCTCTTACCAAATGTGAGCCATCTGTTGCCTCAGACACTACACATGCCCACTGTTCACACACACACCTACACACAGACAATTAGGCCTCGTCAGTCACAGATGTTTATCTTACCAAATGTGAGCCACCTGTTGCCTCAGACACCACACATGCCCACTGTTCACACACACACACACACACACAGACAATCAGGCCATGTCAGTCACAGATGTCTCTCTTACCAAATGTGAGCCACCTGTTGCCTCAGACACCACACATGCCCACTGTTCACACACACACACACACACAAACACACAGACAATCCGGCCATGTCAGTCACAGATGTTTATCTTACCAAATGTGAGCAACCTGCTGCCTCAGACACAACACATGCCCACTGGCCTCTCCTGCCAGCCCACTTCTTCACATTAGGCAGAGTTGGAGAGTTCAGCTCCCTGCATATCTACAAATGCATTTTAAAATTTATTATTTAATGAAATCAACTGCTTGTAAGCAACAACAGCAAAAACAATATAAGACTCAAATATGTTTCTTTTACAATAAATGTATAAATGCACACTGTGTTTAAGAATTAGTCCATATACACGGGTGTCACAATACATACGGTATGCTCTTTTTTTCCTCAGAAGGTTTCACAGAGTATAGACAAAGTTCTAAAGATTGTAACTGACTCACATAGCATGTTGAGAAAGGTGGAGAAAGGCATGTTCCGTGCAGAGAGGCAGACATCACTTCAGAGGTCCAGGGTAGTTAGCATCCTATGGATATTTTCTCCATGTGATGCCGGTGTGCTGGGAAATGAGCAGGTAGATAGACGGGCTGGCTCTGCACCACTTGGTGGTGAATTGATGTATGACAAGCTAGATATTGTCAGGGCCCTTTGGGAGCAAGTGAACAGTGCGGAGGCACAGATAGATCATTACGGTCTGAGAAGAGTTTCCCATGAAACAAGTGATCACTTATAAACAACACCAAGTCTATCATTTTTCAACTTCAATGTTTTTACCCCCCCCCCCTCCCCCCCCCCCCCCCCTAAAAAAAAAAAAACTTCTTTTGAGGTATCTTGGAGGCCAAAAATTATGGGCTTTCAATTCCACAAACTATAAACATGAATAGTGAAGGTTTCCCAGGTGAAGGCTACATGAAAGTATCAAGAGGCATCAACCATCCACTGCACAATTCTACCGACAACATAAAAGGATGGTGTCTGAAAAAAAGGTTACTCCTAGATGTCGAAGCTGAAAATATAATTCAGCAGGCATGCAATCTAGACAAGCTCAGCCACAGAGAGGAATGGATAAATACACTGATCAACATGTATAAATATTCGAAGGTTGTCGTCACATTAGAAAGGTATTGCCAAAACCAGAATCCTGTGGCTGTAGACACTGAGATAAGTACTGATCAGCTTTCACATCCAGCAGACATCATCATCTACACAGATGGGTCCGTGAAACACGGGTCAGAGTCAGATGGGCGTATGCAGCACAAAGGATGGGGAGAGCAACAAAAGAGGATAGTGGCGTGTACTAGGCAACTCTATCAAGCGTGATCATAGAGACATCAGCAGAGCACTTGCATGGGCAGCAGAACAAACATTCACATATATGGCCATCATATCAGACTCCATGAACAGGTCAGTATGTAGTTCTTCCCTTCAAGAATAGCATTCTGTAGGATTAACACCTCAAGGTAGAGAATGACAGTTACAAATCCCATAAACCCCATTCAACTATATGAAACAGTTATATAACCCGGGGGGAGGGTGAGTGGTCTCAGGGCATGGTGTCCGCCTCGAGTGCTGGAGGTCCCGGGTTTAGGCCCTGGTGAAGGCTTGGACTTTTTCACGTGAACTTCTAGTGATTTCCCCTGGACTTTGGGTAGTAAAATCGAACGTGTGTATACTTTAAAAAATCCCTTGGCAGTTGGAAATAGAAAAAGAGTAGCCTAACAGCACTCCTCAGGCAAAATTTGGACTTAAAAATCTACCCAGTATTCCAGGATCCTTGCCGGTGTTACGCTGAGATTCTTCGGACTCAGGCTTGAGTTAGAAGTAGAATGGAGCACTTATGGGTATCTCCTTTGTGTCATAATGTTGATCCCGTTGTATAAATCTAAACCATAAACCTATATAACCATATCAAACAGTTATATAACAGTATCGAACAGTTATATAACTTTATCGATCAGTTGTATAACGGTATTAAACAGTTATATAAGCGTATCAAACAGTTATAAAAGCGTATCAGTTATATAAGCATAACCAACAGTTATATAACCATATCAAACAGTTATACAACTGTATAAAACAGTTACATAACTGTATCAAACAGGTATATAACCGTATCAGTTATATAAACCATATCTAGCAGTTATATAAGTGTATTAAACAGTTATATAACCATATCAAACAGCTATATAACTGTATCAAACAGTTATTTAACCGTATCAAGCAGTTATATAGCTATATCAAACAGTTATATAACTGTATCAAACTGTTATATTTGGGCATCCGACGATTACATAACATGTAGTCCAGTTTGGGAGGGAAATAAATATACAACTCTTGTAGCGGCTACACAATTCCCGCACTTCAATGCACCATCCAATTGAATCATATTGTCTCAATTCTAAGATGTCACATTAGATAACAACGGTAATACTGTGACACTGGATTTAACAAATAAACTGCTATCTACATGTGTTGTTGTTCCTGGCTTTGTGGACTGCGAAACACTTTCACTGGCTTTGGTGGACCGCAAAACATATTCCTTGGCTTTGTGGGCCACAGGTGTAAAAAGGTTGAAAAACACTAAAAGAATGGACTCACTGCCTCCCTAACAAGCAAAAGTGACCAATTAGGGATTTTTTCTCTGAAGTCAGAGCACATCTACTTGAAAGGCAAGGAACCAACAGTCTGCATACAAGTAAGCCATATCTGTAAAACAGCTGTGTAAGCAAAATTCAAGTTCTGAAACAAAACTCAAGTACCCAAATTTCCGAACAACCAGAACTTTCCACTGGAGTTTACAGCCGGCGAATGCTAAAAGAGCAAGGGAAAAAATGTCAGCATTAATTAACATATTAACATGTAGTTTCCAAGTGGCCCTAAAAAAAAATCAGTGATAATTTAATTACCAAACTTCACACAAAGCTGATGTGCAAGATCTCACAAAATCAGTGATGAAATACTCAACCAACACTTACTTCATTTAAAGCTTCTTTATCTGTCAGGTCTTGAACCGCTACCAGTCCAAATCTTCGAAACAGAACATAACTGACGTATGTTAGCGAAAATGTCTTCTATACCAGCCAGGTTGTTTCTTATAATGTCACTTTACGCCTTGCATTCTTCTTCTTTTGTCTTTCACTTCCCATCAGAGAACAGACTACCAGTTTACTCCTGGCAAGCCCTTTGTAAAACACTGGATAACAGCCTGGATGTTGCATGAGGCTGAAAGAATAAACAAATCAAAACTTGACTCGGGTCTTTCTGTTACCTGCTCTGTCCCCTTCTTCAGTAGGTAAAAAAAAAAAGAGTTCCACTGCTGATGGTTCCAAGTGCAACCTTATTCAAAGCCTGCCCATCCTTTTACTCTGCATGTTGAAAACCATCTGACCCTTTGCTTACTCTCGCTGAATCTGTTTCTGTTTATTCAACAAAGCAACATCACGGAACACAGGTGTGACCCATAAGTGCTCCATTCTAACTCAAGCCTGATGCTGAAGAATTTCAGTGCAGTGCATGAACTCCGTTCCACCGTTGAGGATCCTGGAATACTTTGGGTAGATTTTTAACTGCAAATATTTTCTGGACAGCGCCGTTAGGCTACTCTTTTTTTTTATTTCCAACTGCCAAGGGATTTTTTTTTACATGTCCAACAATACATACGGGCGTCCGGTCTTACTTCCAGAGACTAGGGGAAATTACTAGAAGTCCAACACACAAAAATTATGTACACAAAAATCAGTCTTTTGAGGCATGGATATTCTGATCCATTTAACTGTTCACTTGCCCGGCTCTCTAGCGTAATTGGCTAAACCAGTTTGCGTGGAGACCGGGTGACGAACTCCTTGTGGTCCGGGTTCAATCCCTGGTATAGGCAGGAAAGCCACATTTTCCAGATTTAGGGTATTTACAATGGAATCAAAGCCGAAAGGTTGCGATATCCATAATACCGAGCCTAAGGGTTAACAACTCATGGCTTCTGGATACTAAAACAAACAAACAACTGTTCACTTGATCCCACAAAGCTTTCACCACTTCTACTTTATCATAAAGTAGCTTACAACCAGAGGAGCGGCAGCAACCTGCTAATTATCCCGCATACCAGAGTATCCTGGACAGAAAATCCATGACATGCTCCAGATATGAGTATTACCTAGCAATGCAAGCCACTTTACATGTAACACACCAGTCATGATCTTTTCTAAGCATATGAATCCATTACAATTACAATATGCTGGACTGTTATAGTGTCTAGCGAGCCTCTCGTTTAGACATTGTTCAGTCACATAAAAACTTTCATTAATCACCTACTACTACTTGAATAGAAGATTACAGTGTTACTGTTCTTGGCTGTCTTTTTGGATTTAGGTATCACACTAAAAATTGTATTAAGGCTGCATTTTTTTATACAATAGCGAGTGGTCACACAGTATAGAGTATCAGTTTCTCACAGTTCACCATACAAACTTTAAGTTATTTGCCAATTTCACAGTTCACCATACAGACTTTGAGTTCATTGCCAATCTCACAGTTCACAACATAGATTTTTAACTTCTGTGTCAGTCTCACAGTTTCATGTATTTGTAAATCCAGTGTCTCTAAATAAAGATCTATGACCACCCTCATGCGGGCTGACCCGTGTCACTGATTCCACAAACCACAACTCCTACAGCTATTCTTTCTAAAAGACTGCAGTGTTCAATATGGCTAAAGTTTACAGTTTTCAAGGAATGAGCCTGGCTATTTGCCAGTTTTCTTTCATGTTTAGACTCTGTGGAAAATTTGTATTTTCTTCTTTTGGATACCTGATATTCTAAGAATGTTTCTGCAAAATTTAAATGAAGAGGTCTCAGTGTTCTTCTGTCTTCTCCATCTTCCTTTGTCTGTTCGTTAACCCAGCCAGTCATCTCCTTGTGAGATGCACATTTTTCGTTATTTGAAGCCCTCTCTGGCTCTTGCCAGGGGCCGCAATATAGCCCAACCCCCCCCCCCCCTCTCCTCCATCTTCCTTTGTCTGTTCGTTAACCCAGCCAGTCATCTCCTTGTGAGATGCACATTTTTCGTTATTTGAAGCCCTCTCTGGCTCTTGCCAGGGGCCGCAATATAGCCCAACCCCCCCCCCCCTCTCCTCCATCTTCCTTTGTCTGTTCATTAACCCAGCCAGTCATCTCCTTGTGAGATGCACATTTTTCGTTATTTGAAGCCCTCTCTGGCTCTTGCCAGGGGCCGCAATATAGCCCAACCCCCCCTCTCCTCCATCTTCCTTTGTCTGTTCATTAACCCAGCCAGTCATCTCCTTGTGAGATGCACATTTTTCGTTATTTGAAGCCCTCTCTGGCTCTTGCCAGGGGCCGCAATATAGCCCAACCCCCCCTCTCCTCCAATCAATCTCTTTCTTGTCTGGCCTCTTGCCTTGTAGCCTGCTGCTCTCATGCAGTAGGCTCTAGCTGCTGGCTGATTTTTTAAAATTCTGGCCAGATGACCAAATCATTTGATTCTTTGATATTCTATGAAATCATTTACCAGTACTGTGTCTCTAATGTTCTTCTTTAATGATTACAAAATGGTCTTAACTCAAAGTTGCATGTTTCCAAAAGAAAAATGCATGTTCTCACATTTTTTTAAAAAACAAAATATAGAGTGACTACTCATACGCAGAAGGCATATGACAGGGAGACAAAAATTATACACAAAGACAGTGAAGTTCATACTAGAGACAACTTTGCAGATATAGATAATTTATTTCAAGCAAGCGAAAGAAGAAGCTATACACAAAGGAGTTGATTTTACAGCTCTGGTTTATATGTGTTCAAAGGGTAAATCCCTCACCTCTCAGGCATGCATCCACCAACTTGAAAGGATGCAAACTCGTAATTAGTCGTCTTTAACCACATCCTTGTTTAGGAAAGGGGGTTGGGAGGGGGGTCTATTCATTTCTGTTCCTCTTAACAGGAGGTCTTAGAGGCCATATGAGGGAAAAGGGTGAAACAAAATATTGGTGATTAAAATTACTACTACTACTACTTACTTACTTACTTACCCATTCTCCAGGAGCGTCATGCAGACAACATCTTTCACCCCAGGATTGCCAGATTTTTCCAGAGAAAATTTATCCAGGTTCCAGGACGCTAGCCTCAGAATGTCCCCGTTCTTATATTTAAATGTTATTTTGTCTATCTTTGGTCTTTCTGGCACTTTAGCTAATGGTCCCAAAATCTGCAACAGATTTTCTATTGACGATGTAGATCTGCGAATATATTCTCGGTCTAATTGTTCTTGCTTTATTATTTTATTTCCTGTGGCACCATTCACACAGCTTCCATTTTTAGCATCATCTATCTTCAACGATTTCTGATTTTTATCTTCAACAGTCAAAAAAGGAAGCATGATTTCAAGATTATTCAGATTTATACCCTTGACCTTCAACAAATCTTCCAGTTTTGCATATTTCCCATACTTCTCTCTATGTACAACAATATTTTTGGCTATTGTCATACCAATGCCCTTGACCCTCAACAGAGTAAAAATATTTGCAGAATTCACACAGACAGCTGCAGGCGACTCTAGGTCTCTCTTAAGTTGTCCAGTTGAAACCTGGGTTCCTTCACCTCTTTCGATTCCCTCTGGTGGATCAACAAAAATATCTCCGCGCATGATCACCAACTTTGCCGCTCCAACTCCCGGAGTTAAAGCAACATCCTCCACACAATGAAACCCGCCAATATGATTCCTGTAGTCGATGATCTTTTTAGCTATGACCCTATTGACCCCCGGAAGGGTCATCAGCTCCTCCTCGCTGGCTGTGTTGACGTTAACTAGGCCACAATCAGTGCTGGTGTTCTCAATGACGGACATGTTAAAGGTGGCACTCAAGTTTCGCCGGCAGCCCTTACTGTGTGGAGTGCTGGAGTGGGGAGTCTTGTCAAACTGGCCATGTGGGATACAGCAGCTGTTCAATGCTCCCATGTTGCTGATGATGATGGACGAATGACGTTTCTGAAAGATATCAGTAAAATAATTCAATTATCAAAGCCATTAGAGAAGTGGACAGGGTTATGTGTGCAGTGGTATTGGTTACATTCAAACACTGAAAGGTTAACTGAGATATAACAATAACCAGCTTTCTTTATTTTTGGCGGTGCGCAACAGTACACAGTACCAGTTCTTGTACCATTTTTTTAAGCTAAAATGTTTCATTGCTACTGTAATATGCACTTTGTGGTGAGTACCGACACCTTTTTAGACTCTTTTTGGTCAGAAGCTGCAACTTTAACCTGGAAAAAATTACAAGACCTAACAATAACAGACAATTTCTACCGCTCTCCTTTTATTATAGTTTTTAAAAAAACTGACAATAACAGAAGATTTATACCACTCTCCTATTATAACATAAATTTACTGAACTATGACTAGAATACTTAACAAGCTATTATAACAAACAGTTACTGTCGTAGCTGCCCTGTGTGAGGAACCTGCTGTAGCTGCCATGTGTGAGGGACATGCTGTAGCTGCCATGTGTGAGGGACATGCTGTAGCTGCCATGTGTGAGAAACCTGCTGTAGCTGCCATGTGTGAGGGACCTGCTGTAGCTGCCCTGATTGAGGGACCTGCTGTAGCTGCCCTGTGTGAGGGACCTGCTGTAGCTGCCATGTGTGAGGGACCTGCTGTAGCTGCCCTGTGTGAGGGACCTGCTGTAGCTGCCCTGATTGAGGGACCTGCTGTAGCTGCCCTGTGTGAGGGACCTGCTGTAGCTGCCCTGATTGAGGGACCTGCTGTAGCTGCCCTGTGTGAGGGACATGCTGTAGCTGCCATGTGTGAGGGACATGCTGTAGCTGCCCTGAGTGAGGGACCTGCTGTAGCTGCCCTGTGTGAGGGACATGCTGTAGCTGCCATGTGTGAGGGACATGCTGTAGCTGCCCTGAGTGAGGGACCTGCTGTAGCTGCCCTGTGTGAGGAACCTGCTGTAGCTGCCATGTGTGAGGGACATGCTGTAGCTGCCCTGTGTGAGGGACCTGCTGTATCTGCCCTGTGTGAGGGACATGCTGTAGCTGCCATGTGTGAGGGACCTGCTGTAGCTCCCCTGAGTGAGGGACCTACTGTAGCTGCCCTGTGTGAGGGACCTGCTGTAGCTGCCCTGAGTGAGGGACCTGCTGTAGCTGCCCTGTGTGAGGAACCTGCTGTAGCTGCCATGTGTGAGGGACCTGCTGTAGCTGCCCTCATTGAGGGACCTGCTGTAGCTGCCATGTGTGAGGGACATGCTGTAGCTGCCCTGTGTGAGGGACATGCTGTAGCTGCCCTGAGTGAGGGACCTGCTGTAGCTGCCCTGTGTGAGGGACCTGCTGTAGCTGCCCTGTGTGAGGGACCTGCTGTAGCTGCCCTGTGTGAGGGACCTGCTGTAGCTCCTTTGTGTGAGGGACCTGCTGTAGCTGCTCTGTGTGAGGGACCTGCTGTATCTCCCTTGTGTGAGGGACCTGTTGTAGCTGCCATGTGTGAGGGACATGCTGTAACCTAGCAGCTGCACACTGACCTGCCAGTTTGGAGGCCTAGGGTTCAAATCCGCACTGAGGTGGGTTTTCTAAGAATTTACTTTGGCTCCCATTTGACACAGCCTGAAATTGGTACCAGGTAATGTCCTGGGATATAAAGGCAGATAAAGTGATGCTGACCACATCACCCATCAAGTGTCAATTGGTCTACACAAATATGAGTCAATCATCATATTCCTGATGGGTCACTGTTGTAAAGAATAATCCTTGACTTGACTTCACCAAATGGGTTCAATGCTCCTTCTTGACTTCACGTACACCAAATGGGTTCAATGCTCCTTCTTGACTTCACATACACCAAATGGGTTCAATGCTCCTTCTTGACTTCACGTACACCAAATTGGTTCAATGCTGCTTCTTGACTTCATGTACACCAAATGGGTTCAATGCTGCTTCTTGACTTCACGTACACCAAATGGGTTCAACACTCCTTCTTGACTTCACAACACCAAATGGGTTCAATGCTCCTTCTTGACTTCACAACACCAAATGGGTTCAATACTCCTTCTTGACTTCACGTACACCAAATAGGTTCAATACTCCTTCTTGACTTCACAACACTAAATGGGTTCAATGTTCCTTCTTGACTTCACAACACCAAATGGGTTCAATGTTCCTTCTTGACTTCACATACACCAAATGGGTTCAATGTTCCTTCTTGACTTCACGTACACCAAATCGGTTCAATGTTCCTTCTTGACTTCACATACACCAAATGGGTTCAATGTTCCTTCTTGACTTCACATACACCAAATGGGTTCAATGTTCCTTCTTGACTTCATGTACACCAAATGGGTTCAATGTTCCTTCTTGACTTCACATATACCAAATGGGTTCAATGTTCCTTCTTGACTTCACATACACCAAATGGGTTCAATGTTCCTTCTTGACTTCACGTACACCAAATGGGTTCAATGCTCCTTCTTGACTTCACGTACACCAAATGGGTTCAATGTTCCTTCTTGACTTCACGTACACCAAATGGGTTCAATGTTCCTTCTTGACTTCACATACACCAAATGGGTTCAATGTTCCTTCTTGACTTCACGTACACCAAATGGGTTCAATGTTCCTTCTTGACTTCACGTACACCAAATGGGTTCAATGCTCTTTCTTGGCTTCACATACACAAAATGGGTTCAATGTTCCTTCTTGACTTCACATACACAAAATGGGTTCAATGTTCCTTCTTGACTTCACATACACAAAATGGGTTCAACACTCCTTCTTGACTTCACATACACAAAATGGGTTCAACACTCCTTCTTGACTTCACATACACCAAATGGGTTCAATGTTCCTTCTTGACTTCACATACACAAAATGGGTTCAATGTTCCTTCTTGGCTTCACATACACCAAATGGGTTCAATGCTCCTTCTTGGCTTCACATACACAAAATGGGTTCAACACTCCTTGACTTCATGTACACCAAATGGGTTCAACACTCCTTCTTGACTTCATGTACACCAAATGGGTTCAACACTCCTTCTTGACTTCATGTACACCAAATGGGTTCAATGCTCCTTCTTGACTTCATGTACACCAAATGGGTTCAACACTCCTTCTTGACTTCATGTACACCAAATGGGTTCAATGCTCCTTCTTGACTTCATGTACACCAAATGGGTTCAATGCTCCTTCTGTCCACAGTTCTGGGTAATTATGGAGAATACTGGTTATAGCGTGTTTGGTAAACAGTTTTTATCTCTTCTGTTTTCTCCAAGAAACTAACTAATTTAGACTGAGCAAAATTGAAATTTAAAATATTTAAAAAACAAAAAACAGAACTATTTCATCTTAGAATTATTACCAAGACAAGTGAAGTAATCCAATCTTTAAAGCACAGGTAATTAACCAGAAGCTTAATTATCTTAAACACATGAGACTAACTGGGGTACCATTAACAGCATCTCATCAATTATCCTAAATAAAAACATGAACTTTAACACATGCATGCTGATCAAAAACAGAGTGACACAGATAAATCTGCATGTGATAACATCACGGCTATAAAAGTTGATTATCAGTTAGCTGGCTATCAGATTAGTGGGATATCTGTTTGCACTGATTTAAAACACTAGCAGTCTTCCTACATATAATGATTCTCAACTGAATAAAATAAACAGCACTCCTTGAAGCGGCAACCTTAGGGGAAGTAATCTATTGTAAGCTAACATTAATGTAAGTGCCGACCCCCAGGGAACGTAAGGCATTGTTTGTGTAATTTCACATAATAATAATATTCTTTCATATTTAATATAATTTGGGGTTAGGGTTAGAGTTAGGGCTAACCCTACCCAAGCATTAACTCCAATCCAAACCCTCATCTCAAGCAATATTAAATATAAAAAGAATACTGTTATGATGTGACCCTACACAAATAATGGATTGTCTCCCTTACAATAGGAGTCCGCTCGTGGGATGCAATTTTTTTGTTATTTTGAAGCCCCATCCTGGCTTTTGCCGGGGGCTCTGAATATAACCGGGCCATAAATATGGCCTAGCCATAGATATAGCCCGAGGGCTGAAAGGGGTTTCTGGGACCTCTCCACGGGTGATCTTTATCTGTATGGTTGCCCTTTGTGTCGCTGGGTGTTTATCGCTTGTGTGATGTCCTGGTGGGGTACGATTACCTACCTACCTCCCTTACGATCGCCACAAACACACAATGATTACATCCCCTAGGTGAGCCAATTAAACTATTTGTAATTCAGCCGCTGATGCCTCAACCCCTGGCAGCTGTAGTGGTAGTTTTCATATCAATAATTTTCTGTCCAACCCTCACGATTATAACTGGGATACAGCGTCCACAGTATTTTTAATATAGCATCATCAATCACCAGGTCCTTCACATAATGTCACTCTCCTCCTGGCACATCTGAAAATCTCTCTTTCTCTAGCCAGCTCTCCAGCTCTATGTGCTTTCACAGCCAATGCAGCTTCAATGTCTTGTATCCACCTTGGGGAAGGTTGGCCTCTGCTTCATTGTCTGTAAACTGTACCTTCCATGATCACTGTTCTCTACAAGCCACAATGAGGTTTAACATGGCCACAACACCTCAGCTTTCGGGACAGGATGCTGTTTATGAGCCAGTTCTCCTTGATGCTCACATCATGTTGGATGACAGCGTTTTTTTTTGTTTTAAAGTGCAGGTTTTCTTTTTATAGTATTTTCAGATGTAACTTGCTATTTTATATTTCACATAGATTAAAACAAATAATCATTTCTTTCAGTAGTTTGTGTTATTGATGTTACATTATTGCTAGGCTCTAGGTCAAGTCTGGAAAGACGGAAAGGTGCCAATGGAATTCCTAGGCTAGCGCTTATTGCCATTTAAAAAAATAATAATTTATATATTATTATTACATATTTTGGTTTAAATAATAATTCTGTAGCAGTGGTTTCCAAGTGGTTAGG